TTCACACTCCCTCCCCCTCCAGTACCGAAGACAGAGGTCTCCTATGATTGCTGCAGTTTGCATTTGGATTTGACTTGCATAGATTGGCCATTTCCTGCTCTTGCAGGTGTATATATTTTTCCAAGATCTGGAGAAAACACAGCTTTTCATTAACTCACAGAATGCTTACACAAGCTCTTAAATACTCAAAGATGATAAGTTCATCCATTAATGAATCTGTTTCTCTGAACTGGAGAATATACCATGATCCTAGCGGGCAAGGCAGAACAGGAGACATGGAGAGAGAAAACATGCAGTGGAACAGTTCTATATTTTGGCAACAGCTATTAATATATTACAAAGAGCACATTGTCAAGCTATTTAGGTTGCAACTTTTAACTTGCCCTCTAAAATTCCTTTTTAACAAAGAGGAAATAAGTTTAGCCCAGCTGCAACTTTATTCCTTTCTTCCATGCTTTAAATAAAGAACCACCTTGCAACAAGCTCTTTGCCTCTCCGATTTCTCCAGTCCAAGGTGGTCCAACAGGCAGGCATTGGATGAAGGCTTAAAGCACCCTCTGCTATTCCTGGCTCTGACACTGACCTGCTGCACAGAGGGCAGCTTGGTTGACATCCCTCTGCCTCCGCTTCCCCTCCCAGCCCTTGTTTACCCTGGCTATTTAGGCAGCAAGCTCGTCAGGGCAGAGACTGCTCTTGCTGGGCCTGTACAACAGCTGGCAAAACAGACACAGGCTACCAGACACAACTGTAATATCGCTATACTCTCCAAAAACCCCAAAGGCTTTGTGCTACTGCTCAGCTACAGTTTAACTGCAGAAACCATCCTTAAGCCTTAACTTTTCCGTGATATGCTGCCATACATTTTTGGAACAAAAATGCTCCATTCACCTTACATCATGAAGGTAAGGCTTGACTCTTGCTTCAGCTGCTCCTATGACTGAGTGAAGCAAAAATCTTCAGCATGGGGACTACGTTTTTACCATCCCCACGACAAGGTCTTGTTGCAGTACATGTCTATATATAAAATTAAAATGACTATAAAGTAGCCTAACATAGAAAGACCTATAAGACAGCTGCCAAGAACCACACCCATCTAAAAGCACTCTATACTTCCGTAATACTGACACATTATTCTATTAAGCATTTGCTTACTGCTGACTCAAGAAAGAAAATTTTTTCACACTAAGAATGTGCTTAAAGAACCCCTCCAAGTCAGGCCCTGCTGTCCCTAATATGCAGTAACTCACACTGATGCAAACCTAGTAATTTATTTCCCCCCCACCAAGGACCAAAGTGTACAGAAACATTGCTCAAAGCAAATTTATTTCTTCTTCTGCAAGTGTACAATTGAATCAATACCTTAAATACTTAACTTCACTTGCATCCGCAGCTTCTGATTAGCCGAATCTACCACAAAGGGCAAATATATGATTGTCAATGTTGTGAATATGCCTTTCAGCATAACAGCTAGTGTCTGGGATTAAGTTCACACCTTCTTTTGAAAACATTAGCAAATCAATTTAACATTTTTAAGCCTAAGTATGCATCCTGAGATAATCACAGCTGGCAATTTTTAAAGGTAGACAGTCAGGATGAGAAGTAAATAATTTTAAAATTTAAATCAAATCATTTCAGGTATACTACAATTTCTCTTTTCCATGCTGCTAACAGCTAGGGTTTTGCAATCAGTTTCTTATAAATTTTCTCTCTTCCCTCTTTCAGAATAAAGTTTTATAGGCAAGCTGACTGCGCAAAGAGTTGTTTCACATACAGGCTAAAGCCTGTTCCCTCTGATCTTCTTACAATTATCTGAAGATATGCCGAACAGAAAAAACATTTTTTAAAAATGGTGTCATTTTCAAGTTAATCACCCTTTTAAAAAATGGGGAGGGGAGGTATGTTTCACAGCTATCTTACACTCTAGGCTCAAATTTATCTCTATTTACAAAGCATTAACAGATGGCTTATCAAAAGCCATTTAACAGCAGAAACGATCAAAATATTCTGAGATGTTTTTTTGTTTTAAACAGTAAATACTCCCTAGACTAGTTTTTAACTTATGCCAGCCTCCCAGGGACCATCAGTTTAAGATCTAATGTCAGAACCATGCACGTTATTTCATTAAGTACATTTACCATAAACAGCTCCAGCCTTTGCTTTCTCAATTGTGGACAGCATTGCACAAAAACCTCTTAAAAGCAAAAACCAGTGTTCACCTCATGCAACATTATACAGAATGTGCAACAGAAGCTTCAGCTCTTGAGCAAGTCAAAGCCAAGCTTACAAACTCAAGATTTACTCTATATCACTAAGAAAGCACAGTTATCAAGAAGGTCCAGCTATCCATCATCTTTATCACCATCTTACTTACCCAGTGATATTTAAGCTTAACTATCTACTCAGCTCAAATTTAACTTTCAATGAGCTACCTACCACATTCCTACTTAGAATTACTATGAGGAAGAAAGACTCTGTGCCCAGAAGCTGACCTCAATCCCTTCTCCAACTTGTATCAGTTAGTCAAATAAAATGTAATCTCTCTCTGCAAATCTTACTCCCTCAACTGCAAGAGCAGCAATCTTGGAGATTGCTCTTGATCTTGGAGACATGCATGAGATACAAGTGGTATGGAAGACGCATGGCTATTTAAAAACCTCAAGCCGACACAGAGACTATTAAAGTCTTCTTCAGCTAAGTACAACTTTTACAGCTGTACCACAACTCAACACATGCACTCACGCTGGTTCTTCTGGAGATGTACAGATACCCAAACCCCCCAGTACTGCGATATGCCTTTGTCTTTTATCTGTTGCCAGAACTGTCTACCCTACTGCAGCGAAACTCCTGCAACTGCCCCCAGATGCTGGATCTCCACACATGGAAAATAAGTGCTTGGCTTTCAGGTATTCCCCATAAGATATGGCACACTGTTTCAAAGAACTGAAGATTGTTTGAGCCTTCCATGAAGTTAAAAGTAATTAAAGGATTCATCCTCCAGATATATCTCAAGGTTCCTGCATAACCAGCTTGTAATGTCACTTGGTGCGTTACCCATGATTGAACTCCCTAGGACTAGGGCAGTGCTGACCAATGCTAAAAGCAGCACTCAGTACTAGAGTTGTTTAAAGAAAACTTGAAAATAGGACTCAGCACAAAAGCACATCCTAGAATTACTAAAAAAAACCCTGTTCATAGCAAACCCAACAGCATTGAAATCCCTGGGAGCTCATGATACTCAAGCAGCCTTCCCTTCACTTAAACCCTCTGACCTAGCAAACCTCTTCTGTAGCTGTTTATAGACCTGCATTCCTGTGCAGGGGGAAGTGGTGGTCCTTACGTATGCTGCACCTGCTCTGCTGTACACCTGATCCTTCCTGCAACTGAAGGAGCGTAGTATCACCTTATTCTTAATGAAAAATACAGAACTTCATTTCCTCAGGAGACAAAATCATATATCACAGAGACAGAGTCCAACACACAGCCATCCTGCAGTGCTTATTCCTGCTGACTTCCAAGGGAACTGTGCTTAACTTTCAAGCTGTGAAGACTGAATTGGTTGAAGTGCTGGCCTGAAAACCCAACACAAGGAGTTTCAGCACCACTGAAGTTCTGCTCCTGCCGGCAGAAGCCATAATTGTTTCTCTAAAGTCTGTGCTGTTGACAAGATAGCAATACAAGACAGCAAAATAGGCCTCAAAACCTGACATCCCTTCTTTTGATTCATGTCAACACAGTGTTAACGGAAACAATACTGAATCACTGGATGACAAACTAGATCCTGGCCTGGCAGCTAAAGGGAAACCATAGGAAGGGATTCATAGATCCTAAGAACATAAACTTCCTCTTGGGATCCTTAAAGTAGCAAGGAAAGCCCACATTGCGTGGCTGCCTCCGAGAGGCATTTTGTACGCTAGCAAATTCAAGAGAGGAAAGGCAATCTTTGGTCCTTACCAACCACTGCCAAGGCCCAAGCCCCAAAAGCACTTCATCTAGAAAGATGCTGGTGTCACACACAGTAAAGCCAAGAGGGCTCACACCTGTTTCTAACCTATGATGTGCTGTTGAATGAGGGGAAAGAAAAAAATAATAATAAAAAAAAAATCCAAACCCTATCCACAAAACTTTAAAACCCAGAAGCCATGAAGAGTCCAAGAGTCACTTTCTCTGTGACAGCCATCACCAGCTATACCAGGAAGGTGCTCCATGAGCAGAATCTAAGAAACATATTCCTGGGGCCCCCTGCCACGAAGGCTCTTGCGCCTAGTAACGTATGTAAGTCCACTCTCCAGCCTTCACCCAAGACACCAGCCCAGGCCTTGCTCCCCTGTGGCTTCTTCTCTGAGGCATCTTCAAGACCATGGCAGGGGCCGCTGCCCAGAAGCAGGGAGGGAGTGTGGGTGCATAGGATCACCCCAGCTGCACACGGCAGCTCCGCGTCCCCATGCTCCCACCTCCCCTAGCTTGAAGCCCCCGACCCTACGTGTTTTGTCAGGGGCAGTTTTGGGGGACCTAGCTGATCTGGAGAGGGCCTGGGGCCCCAATGCTTGAGGGCTGCTCCCGCCGCGCCTGGCGCTGAGGGGCCCCGGCAAGCCCCCGTCAGGCCCGCCCGCTTCCTGGCACGAACGCGAAGCGCCTCCCCACAAACCCCCAACGCTCCTGGGCCGGGCCGGGCCGGGCCGGGGTCAGGCCCCACCACCCCGGGGCCGCCACACGCGGTCCCTCCCCTCCCAGGGACGGCCCCACTGCGGGCCCGGCGCTACGGCCCTTCCCCTGCCCTCGCCACCCCTCTTGGCGCAGGCTAAAGACGGCGCAGCCGCGCTTCGAGAATAGCCCCCCCTTCCCTCCGCCCCCTCACGGCGGCGGGAAGCCCCCCCTTAGCGACTACGCCAGGAGCGCAGAACGCCCCTTGGCAACCAGCTAGGCCGCAGCATCCACGGCCTTTCCCAGCCGCCGCCGCCGCCGCCTCCCCCCCGCCCTTCCGCCGGGAAGGCCGCGCTTACAGGTCGGTGCCGAGCTGGGTGAAGCCGGAGTTGAGACAGCCGCGGGCTATGCGCCTCCAGAGGAGATCGCGGCTACTGAGGAAGCGCAGGCGGCGGCAGACCTGGCCCAGGCGGCCCAAGGCCTGCGCGTCCAGGTAGGAGCAGATGAGGAGCAGCAGCTCCTCGGGTAAGGCCCAGAGCGGGGAGGGGGGGG